GGCGCGAATCTGCCGCCTGCACGTTGGTGCGAGGAGGAGCCAGCAGCACCTGCCTGATGGGGCACTTCAAGCCCTTGGGGAGGCCGAAGCTCCGTTGGAGCCTTCCCAGGCTCTGCCTGTACGTGGTCCCTGCTGCGCTGGCAGTGTGAATCCCCAGGCGGTCCCCACGCAGAAGAGCAGGCAGACCTACTTGTTAAAAAATCCTTAACTGAAAAGAAGAAATAACTTGTCCAAGAGGAGGGACATGAGGCTCCTGGAGTCATCCAGCATGTCTCTTCCCCGAGATCCGGTGTAACTGCAGCCAGCGTTGCCAGCAGAGAGCTGCGGAGATGCTGCCTGGCTGCTGGTGCACACCCAGAGCCCCAGGAGGACTTAGTACACGTGGGGGCGGGGGGTACCACAGTGACCTGGGTTAGCAACACATCTCTATAGGTCTGTTCCTACTGGGACTCCTATGGACTACCCATACCCATCTTTCTTCCCATCCCCAATCCTTAGCTCCTGTTTTCATGGCTGTGTCTGGATTCTCCCAAGACAGGATGTGCTCAGCGGGAGCTGACGTTATCAGTCAGCGATGGAATTAGGGGCTCTTGCTGTGGATATCAAAGGCTGCTCTGCTGTGTGGGCTCTGGGAAGCCTAATTCCCGTAGCATCTGGAAGACCCGAGGTTCCTGAATGCTTGTGCTTTCAAGCTAGTCTTGAATCGTGTGCGGAGGAAGGAGGTAAATAATAATTACACTCACCTGCTTTCCCTGGTTTTGCTGTGTTAGGCTCTCCATCCTGGTGGGTCTTGTTGGGCTCGTTAATTTGTGTGGACTACACTATCCAAACATCACAGCTCAGCAAATGGGGTTGATCCAAACCAGACCTCGTATTGCACCGCTCAGCCCAGCTCTGTTGCCCGTCCTGCCCGTTGGAGCGAGCGGGGCCGGCATCTGCTCGCGAAGGCAGGGCACGGTGTTTGTTGATATGGAGGGGGAAGCCAGTAAGCCCCAAAATGTGTGCAGGGCAAAGGGGTGGATCTAATTCACAGGATGGTGAATTCCCTTTGAGGGTGGTCTGGGCTCCACGTGGAAGCTGGTGTGTGGTTACAGCTGGGATGTGTCGCTCCCAGCGTAGTAACGCTGGCGTGCAATCCCAAATCCTGGGTTTGATCCCCAAAGGACTGGTCTGCCTCAGCCGTGATGTTACCTACATGTATCCAGCAGTAGTTTTCTGATCCTGCGAGCGCAGAGGCTCTTTCCACAGTAACTGGGCAGTAAGAGGCAGACCCGACTGCTACTCCCACCTCCCCGGACCCCTGGGAACACAGGACAAGACAGGGAAGGCTCGGAAACCTTGTATTACAAAAATAAAAGAGCGCACGGCGCAGTGTCACGCGTGAAGCTGCCGTGCCAGGCTCCAGCGCAGAACGTACCAATCAAAGGCAAATATAAAAAAGACAGACACAAACAGTCGCAGGGCAGCATCCTTAAGGCTGAACAATCCCAGCTGAACTGAGCTGATGGAAACCAAGGACTCTCCTTGTTCGGAGCCCCAGCGAGGCAGGATTGGTGTGGCAGGAGCTGGGAGCTCCGGTGTGATTTGCAGGCTAGGTTGAGCCCCCAGATCATCTCCTTTTCCATGGTGGTGGGCCTGAAACAGGTGAACTGGGCTGGATTCCCATGGGAGCAAGGGATACAGGTCTGGGTACTCTACCCCAGTCACCTCTGCCCTGACCCCTCTAAACATCCTCCAAAGAGGGCTGGGCTGCCTCCCTTCCCTTACTGCCCGCGGGCTCTTGGGTCCCCTTTGCTTTACATCAGCTCAGTTAGCCCCCGGCTCAGCACTGCTCCGTGCCGTCTCTGCTGGGCTCCAGGGAAGGGTGGGCTGGCCCCGTTCAAGCTGACTTGGTCCCGCTTTCTACTTCCTTGTGCACCCACAGCTCCTTGTGCTGCTTGCGCCCGAAGCCCTCGTCGTAGTTGCCTTTACTCTTGAAGAGCTGCTGGAAGTGGGGCTTGCAGTAGAATTCCCCATGGAGCGCTGCGTAGCTGCCCAGGCTGGGGAAGGAGAGCGGGGTTAGCTGGGCACGGGGACTCGGCTCCAGGCTGGGGGGGAGCACACGAGGCTTGGGGACACTGGGGCCAGGGAGGAAGGAGGAGGGAACCCTTAGAAAGGGCCAGCTGCTCCCTGCAGCCAGCTTGGGATGTTAGGGGCTTCTGTGAGCAGCATGAAAGGTCTATAAAGGGGAGGGGGTCCCACGGGGCAGCTCAGCTGTGGCTCTGTGTCATCTAGGACAAAGCTCTGGCTCAGCTCCACGTTACCTTGAGGCTGCTCTTCTTCATACCAGGTGGGATTTAGCTGAGATTTGGGACTAGGTGGGCAGATCAGCCCTTTATTTTTTGCTGTGATGAGCGGGCTGGGGGCCCTTAGCTACCCGACGAGA